GACCAATACATTGGAATGGAGATGGGAGCCCTTTAACGCTCGTTCTATCAGTAACATATGTGGAGCTCTGGTGGAGTAACTGAGAGCACAGTTTAATAGCTAGTCTTTCCTTTTTTCATTTCTCCCCTGGAAAATCATAATCAAAAGAAGTTGAAGAGAAGCCACCTAATTTAACAGTGTCTGAGCTGCAAGCCCACAGCAGCTCCAGTTTGGAACATACTGGGAGGCAGTGGAGGAAGGAGAAGTGGTGATCTGCTGAGGAGAACCTTCGCTACAATAAACAAAATAATAATAGCTCTTTGCTAAAGTCAGTCATTGCCGAGACCTGTATTAGCATTTATAATTACGTGGATTCAAGAGGTGCTGTGATGATTCCCATCTCTTTTCGCTTCTCTCTTCCTGGCTTTGATTCTGTCCTGGGAGGTGGCCTCCTTTTAAGTTTTGCATCCTCCTTTTCTCCTAACAGATGGGTGAGGTTGTCATTTTTGCATGTGTTGACTTGGTGAGAACCATTTGATCCCTTCTGTGCAACAGGCGGTCTGGCAGGCTACTTTCGTGTGAAAAACACGCATCAGAGGTTTATGTCCTGTTCCTACAGATGTCCTGTTCAGGGTTTGGGATTGCTGCAGCTCACAGAATGACCACCTGGGAATGGCAAGAGACGTAGATCGGGCTCTGGAAAGTGGCACTTACTAAGCCAAGGCTATACCTCTTCTGGTCTTGCACTGAAGACCTGGAATATGAAATTACTAGGGCTCTCTTGCTGCTTTCTGTATTGCATTTGGTTATTTTTGCAAGCATCAGGTTGTTTGGATAAACTTGCAGTTGTGACTTCTTCTGCCAAGCTTTGTCCTTATGGACAGTGCAATGAATGATTAGGTTTTTTAAAGAGTGCCAAAATCTGGAGACAGTTTATTTGGAAAATTGCTTAACAGACTGCTGATGGTGAATAAATTATTGCACAAGGGAACTTTTGAAAATGGTCTTGAAACTCCTGTGGTGGTAAATTTTCAACTCAAGAAATACAGCATGTGCAGGCTCACTCTCGTGAAAACCAAGCAAATCCTTGCTTGGAAACCACGTGAAAGGATCAGGACTTTTCCTCTGACCTTTTTTCCTTTTTTTTTTTTTTTTCTTTTTTTGGTAAATGTAAGTGTAACAGGTTGTATCTTTCACTATTTCCATAGCACAGTAAAGATGTGGCTTATGTCACTGATTAATTGGTTAGACCCCCTTATTTGTGTTTCCCAGCTGGGTGCCGTTGGTGCAGCATTTCCAGGAGAGCCGACCCAGAGTGAGCACTTGTAAAACGCGGCTTTGAAACAGGAGATGATTTTGGCACGGCCTCTGAACAGCTATGGATGTGGCGACAGTGGTTTCATACTTGCAACCTCACGTGACTGAGGGGGGCCTGTTTGGCTGTGTGCTTGTCATTTCATGGAAAGAGCAGCCCGCAGTGGTCACAGCTCTTAGCGCTCACCGTGTCCTGTTACAGAAGTTGTTGTTAAGCTGGGATGTGAGCTGTAGATTTCTGGTAATGTTCCTCAGCTGATTTATTGATATTGTTCTTCTTATCCCCAGGTTCTCGCTCTGGCTTGCTTTCCCTTTCTCCCTTTTTTTTCTCCCCTCCCCCTGTTACTGGGTCTGCTCTGTGTTTTTTCTCTCAAAAATATTTGCAGGAGGTAGAGCAGTACTAGAGCAGACTATCAGAAGATCTATGGTTCCACAACACCAAAGGTCACATCCAAAACCCAGCGGATATCCTGAATAACTGAACCCTGTGCCCCAGCTCCAGGGCCCCTTACAGGCTCTAGAAGGACGAATTTCAGCCCTGTATAGCCACAGGGTGGACTATCCGCATTCCAGATGCTCTTGTGATGGGAGACTTCCCAGTGACTCTTTTTCTGGGAAGTGCAAGGGAGATGTGCTGTTAGTTTAAGCTGTTGTGATTCTTTATTACAATTGCTTTATATATAGGGCAGAAGGGGAAGATTTGGCTTTGGATATTAGCCAGGGGTGGGTAACTCTTGAAATGTGTGCAGATGCGATTCAATTTTAATCAACATTCAGATGCTTAGACGCTACCCTAATTGTGTCTCATCTGATTTTATGAAGACTTTTTAATTATATTGTTAATATTTCCTGATTCATGCTTCCTCAGATATTTTCTTTTCCTTTTGATACTGATTTTCTTCAAAGTTCTGGGAGAAGAGATGAATATTGCAAAAGACTTTCTTGGCAGTGGCTTCCCCTCCTACCTGAGGAGCAGCCTGCTTGGATGTTGTCTTGGCATTAATGCACGAGACACTTCCAAATTGTTGTATAGGTTTGGGGCTAACGTCAGCACCTCAAGGTCTGCTCACAAAAACAGCTGATTTGAAAAGAATTTTTCTTGCTTTTTGAAATCTGTTGAGATTTCACTCTGAGTTGGAATGCAAAAGGAACACGCTGCCCTACAGTAACCAGTAGCCACTTCAATGCAAGTTCAAGACCTGGGCCTGCTTTAAGTAAATGAAATATTGCATTCTCCTGTATCTAAGCACGCACAATGCTATTGTTTTTAACCCATTAGCTGTTCTGGGATCTTTACCAGTTGGACAAGATTTCTGTCTTGGTTCTAAGACTTTTTTCCTAAGAAATGTCATGCTGAAGTGGTCAAGTGTCCCATCAGAAGTTTTAACTTCAATAAATCAAAATCTTAAAGTGAAAAATAGGGTTTTTTCCTTGAATTTTCTCTCTCCCTCTAGTCCAAAATGCTCAGCTAGCTGCGTGGCAGTTGTGAATTTGCGTTGTATCGGAAACATGGCTTATCGGTGTGCTAATACCCTATGTTGGGTTTGATTCATAAGCTGCAGAAATGGAAACGTGAAGTCTGCATCAGCAGAGATAATTGAACGGAGTGTAGAACTTAGGTATGATTGTTCCTGATTTGGAGAGAAGATTTGGAAGTCTAGGAGAATATCTAAAATACAAGAAAATTGGTACAGCGATCCTACAAGGAAAGGAGGTCATCTTTATTGGAATGGCATAACAGCTTTTATTTCAGTGCAGTGACTGTAGTTCGTAGCAGAGAGCTTGATAATGGGATCCTGTTGCAAATTGGGAACTGCCTCTTAAATTGGATGGATTGGGAAGACGTGATTAAAGCTCTTACTTAGTGGGTTTACATAGGGTTTGTACCGGTCTGTCTGTGCTTTCAGATGGTTCGAGGACCAAGTGTAAACCTGAACTGAGGTGTCGGTGAGAAACGAACCATACTGTATACTCCTCCCTGAAATCTTGAAACTGGCCTTTCATTTTTGTCTAAATCTGTCACCGAAAGCAGTGGCTAATAAGCAGCATTCGGAGGGGCAGTGTACAAGCGCACGGCAGCCCTCTGAAGGCCTGCTGCTGCCGGGAGACAAAAGGAGGTGCAGCCCGAGCACTCGCTTTGCTCGGAAGACGAGGGCTCAGGAGCGTAGAAGGCACAGCATCCCTTGTGCTGCTGCAGGCATGAGTTATGATCTGTGGGCTTTTTAACGGATTAGTGCTTGCTGACGAGTTCTGGCTTGTTTTGGGGGTTTTATTCTTCTCATGAGTGTTTTTTGTTGTTGGTTTGCTATCCAAGGGGGTTAGTGCTCTTCAGCATAACAAGGCAGGACCCACAGTGCTAAGGAAACAGTCATGTTTAGAAGAGCATTTTTTTCCTTCCCTTTAGTTTTGTTTTGGAGGAAATTAGACTGGGATTTAAATCAGAAGCAAACAGGTGTTTGGTAAGAGTGAGAATGGACAAAGATAGTTTATTAAGTTTAATAATGTGGTTTCAGTCATTCAAATGGTATTTGTGAATCATAGAAACACAGAATGGTTTGGGCTGGAAGGGACCCCCAAAGGTCACCTATTCCAACCCCCCTGCAGTGAGCAGGGGCATCTTTAGCTAGATCAGGTTGCCCAGAGCCCCATCAAGCCTGACCTTGAATGTCTCCAGGGATGGGGCCTCCACCACCTCTCTGGGCAAACTGTTCCAGTGCTTTACCACCCTTATGGTAAAGAACTTCTTCCCAATATCCAATCTAAATCCGCCCATTTCTAGTTTAAAGCCATTGCCCCTCGTCCTATCACTACGTGCCTTTGTAAACAGTCCCTCCCCAGCTTCCTTGTAGGCCCCCCTCAGGTATTGGAAGGCTGCTGTAAGGTCCCCCCAGAGCCTTCTCTTCTCCAGGCTGAACAACTCCAGAGCAGTTGTGTTCTGGGCTGTTTCCTCTGGTCCTTGCTGTTGCTGTCTCCATCCACAAGCACGTCCTACAAGCCGACTGGCTCCCCTCCTTCCAGCTCCTTCACCTGGGACCGTTCGCGTGAGGCAGCAGTCGGTTAATGCAGCATCATTGTGTCTACCCGGATTTGGTGCTGCAGTGTGGCACGATCCTCTTACCTACTGGTGTGTCCAGGCTGATCACAGTACTTGACACCGTGGTTTCTGAGGTGGGCAAGACCTGCAACAGCAACACTGTCCCGGTCTAGTTACTGATTTAGTCTCAGTTTAGAGCTTCCCTTCAGCTCTCTACAGGCATACTGACGTCAAGGATTTCTTTGGGGAATAAAGACTGGTAGTGAAGAGGATCCTTAAATTCTGACCCAGCTGTGTTTCTTTGAGAAAAAGGATCAGAAAATAATGCATCTTCTTTGGGCCTTCTGTTGGACTCGTCTTGAGTGTCCGTATGGGTAGGCAGCTCAAATAGGCCATGCTTCTTGTATGGGAAGCATGGGGACTGCAGCGTCTTGGCATTCCCAGAGGACTCCTCCCTCCCATGGTTTCTCACCTCTTCATTATAAACCTTTTTGCTTTGTCTGGATGGTTTTGTTTAGATGTGTTATTTTTTACTGGTAGTTTCTAATTATGATATTTTGAGATCACCAAATGTGCATTCACCATCATTAGTGGCTTCTTCTCTTGCTATTTGTTTCATGTTCAGGGAGTAGCAACCAGATTGCAAAATAATGAGCTGCCTTGTGTATTTCAGGAACATACCCCTCGCAATATGCATTTCAATGATTATCGTCACAGTTGGCTATGTGTTAACAAACGTGGCTTATTTCACTACAATCAGTGCTGGGGAATTGCTGCTTTCAAAAGCTGTAGCAGTGGTAAGTTACAGAAGGAAAATACAAAACTATATCCCTGCTGCAGTTGTGCTTGTTGATAGATTCTTATTTCCAGGGGGAAAAACTCGGGGGGGGGGGGGCACACAATCAGGCTTTTCTATGGCTCCTCTTTTGCACCACCTATCAGCATCCTGGTAAGCTTAGTCTGATTTTTGACTGGTGAGTCAGGTTGCACTTAAGGCCATTGATAGCATTTGTAAGATAATATTAGACTATATTTATTCACCTGATATAAACAATAGGACTTAAATTTTATAGCCAAGTACATGCTTGAAAAATTCTGTGCTAAATTTTAGACCAAACTCCTGGGAGGCAGGAAACACAGATGTTTGTGGAAGTGGGAGCTCTGAACTATTTTTTGTAGCAAAAAATGGTAATGCTATCTCTGCACAATGTGCGTCCCGAGTACTTAGGAAGGGGGTTGCTGTGGATACTGGAGTTCATTTGGGAAGCAGTTGCAAGGCAACCTGGCTTGGAAATACTGCTTTGATTGTTCCTCCTGAATTGTGGTGATGACACTGATTTTTGTATTTATGGTATCTGACTCACAACGAGGAAATAAAAATTTCAATTCACTTTCCAGTAGTGACACTGCCTATGGCTATTTCAATTGACGTGGCATTTAAAAATGACTAAATTCTGCTGCTCGTGGGAGATTTAGAAACAAAACATTTTGCAAACCTGAAGAAAATTGTATGTGTCTCCTGTGGTGCTGCAAACTCCAATTAAGGCTGTTCTGGTGACACAGAACAGTCAAGCATGAGTGGATGGACTATACCACTGGATAGCATCAGCCAAGTAAAATGAAGGACGTAGAAAAAGAAAGACTAGGAATGCAGATCAGACCTCGATCCATTCAGACTGAGTCTTCTTTTTCGGAGTCATAACGGTCTGAACTGACGTAAATCGTGGCCTGGTTCCACCTCAACTGGCGGCCTTTCACAGGCAGGAAGGAGTAAGGGTGGGAGATCTTATCTGCAGTAGCCTTGGTGTCACAAAACAAGAGGTAGCAAATGCACAGCACTCAGTGAGGGGTGCAGAAAAGGGATATAAATAAAACTTACCCTACTTACTAATAATTGCTTAATAGAGTAGAATTACTTTCACATTTTATGAAAAAACACTGTATGTTTCTCTCTCCTCCAACAGACCTTTGCTGAGCGACTGATGGGAAACTTTTCTTTAGCTGTACCAGTATTTGTTGCTCTCTCCTGCTTTGGATCTATGAATGGCGGCATTTTTGCAGTCTCCAGGTGAGCGTTGCTGACACTGCTGGGGGTGGAGGGCGTGCGAGAGGCACTGAGAGTAGGGAAGCAAGGGGAGGGTAGAGCAGGAGTCATTCCTTTGGCAGGACATGGAAAATGGCCATAATGTTTACCAGGTGTGGGGCTTTTCCCAACTTTGTTCCTGTTGGGTTTAGTATGTTACCGTTAAAACCCTTTGAATGGTTTGGAAATGGATCCCTCCGAGCGTAGCACTTAATTAATGGCTGCTTTGTTTTGTGTGAAGCAGGGAAATTGGAGGGAAAACGTTAACTAATTCCAAACACTGATCCTAATGTAAGGTAAAGAGGGGACACCTTTAGAGATGACTTTGATTTCTGTGTACGGGCTTCTCCTGCTGGTCTTTTCACTCAGAATACCTCAGACCAGCCTGAGAAGTGCCGCTGTGCTCTGTGACTTTCATGAGCCGCTTTCCCTAGTCACATTAATGAGCACATTTAAAGTCTGTCCGCGTTTATTTCCCACCAGGATGTTCTTCGTTGCATCCCGTGAGGGTCACCTTCCGGAAATTCTCTCCATGATTCATGTCCGCAAGCACACTCCTCTGCCAGCTGTCATTGTTTTGGTAAATCATACAAACAAATGTTCCTGCACAAGAATTCATATTACAGGCTTGCTCTGGGGGGTTTGGACAGAATTTAGGCGCTGCTTGAGTCGTGTTTATTAGTGTGTGCATCGGCTTTGGGCAGGACAGAGGACAGTAAAGAGAGGAATGAGATTTGGGAGTTGTTCTTATTCTATCATCTCCTCTTTGCCGTCTTGTCGGTAGCACTTGACTGCCTGTTGCTGCAACGTAATTCGTGTTTTATTGCCCTTTATTTCTAAGGACCTGCTAGTGATGAGCTAGTTCTGTCTCGGAGAAACGAACTCCAGTTAAACAAACAAACAAAAAAGGGATTAATTTAGCTGGAAGTGCAGCTGAACACCAGCATCTGGGAGCACCCTAAAGGCTCGTTATACCGCCTTATAGTGAAAAATGCAAACAATTATGCACTAACATAATGGAAGGGGAACCCTCAGAAGTGCAGTGTAGCGGTGATTAAAAAATGAGAGAACGTGTGCCTGGGCAGTAGACTGTGAATTGTCTAAGTAAAAACACCAATATTATAGTGGAAATCCTGGTGCTGACTTCTAAAATAGCAGCAGAGCTAAATGCTGGCCATGTGTTTGCATCGCAGACTAATTTGTGTGGTAAAATGTTGGGACAGAAAGTCAAAATACCGACCTCAAACCTCAGTTTGCACAGTGCCAGGAAGTTCTTCGCTTAACTTGCAGTCTTCATAACTGTGGGTGTTCAGTCCCTCTTTTGGGGGGCTGTAATGTATTACATGCTGTAATATATCTGGGCAGACCTCTGGTTGCCACAGCAGAAGACACATGTGTATCTGTGAGTCTGCGCTAGTAAGATCAGATGCTGGCACTGGAATTCAAATCAGGTTTTGCTATAGATGCCTATAAGCTCACTTCTGAAGTGCCAGCTGAAATGTTGAATTTTATATGTGCCCATACAGCTGTAGGCTTCCAAATTTTGAAAATTAGGCAGCGTGATTACAGTGAAAAGTTTTAATGAAATTCATTTTATGTAAGCTTTTAGTTTGCATTTTATTTCTCTGGGATGAAGTAATCATACCTTTCAGGAAAATGGCACTGACTGTTTTCTGTGGAATGAAATGCACAAAATTTTTTTTTTTTTTTTTTCCTGAAAGATGTTTTCTGCTATCACATCTGGTCCTGTTACACCAGTGCATTGGTTTCCTTTGAAAAAGTCAGATTCTCATATGCAGATGGCTTTCCTTCAGAGACTGTAATTTTTTTTTTGCCTTATTCTGCATCAGTAGTCTGCGTTTTAGCATTTTACGATTTTATTTCTCCTGCCAAGGTCTACACACTGTAAGAAAGGAAAGAGCTCTTGAGAAACTGAGAAAATGAGCATGTTCAGTGTCTGAGGCTTGTTAAAAAAACAAAAAAAAGCATTTTTAGGAATTGAGAAATCTGTTTATGTACGTATGTCCTGGTATTTGATAGATGTGTGTGTAGCAACTCTTAAGAAATCATGTAGTCTGATTGTGACCTTACTTTGGTTTTTTCCCTTGTTAGCTCTCCTTCACTGCCCGTGACACCTTTCTCGCGTTATCGTGCTTGTAAACGGAGATTGTAAACTTTTAGGGGCTGTTGTGTGTAGCTACCCCTTACCACACCCTCTTTGCTGAGTTCCCCTGGTGCAGCCTGGGATACCATAAGACTTTTTCCTTCCACAAGACATCTGGAAACCTCTGCTTTTGTATGATCAGGTGTGACCAAAATGTTTTTTTTGCGTCAGCGATGAGCAAATAAAACTGCAGGGGGCTAATGTTTGTCAGGCCCCGTGAGAGCGGTGCCCAGGATGTTCTGGTGCCACAGTGGGCTGTGCGCCTGTGCACCTGTCTGGGTGGCAGGGGGCAGATACGTGTTGATCACGTGTGGCCACCCGGGACAGATAGATACTGATGGAACGTGATCTCAGGGGACAGCTGCCTGTTGATGTCACACCTGATGGCATGACAAAGGCCGGCCTGGAGTCTGTGGCCCTCAGGTGTCTCTGCAAAAGGCTGTGCTGCTTGTCCCTAGGGAAAAATTTGGTATCACTGCTGTAAAATAATAGGCATCAGTCCACTAAACCCCTCTTACGTTCTGACTTTCTTTTGCAGCATCCTCTCACAATGATAATGTTATTCAACGGGGATCTCTACAGCCTCCTGAATTTCCTCAGTTTTGCCAGGTGGCTTTTTATTGGACTCGTAGTTGCTGGGTTGATTTATCTCAGATATAAACGTCCCGATATGCCTCGTCCTTTCAAGGTAACCTCCGCGCTCTACTGTTTTACGTGACTCCTTCTCCCTCCGATGTGTGGTGCAGTCAGACAGTAAAGGAGCATTTTCTGATGTAGTAAGCTGACCTTTTTTTTTTTTTTAGGAAATCAGAATTAATAGAAAACAGTCTTTTGCATGGAAGGGTCTCCTTGTGTTTTCCTGCAAGCTCCCAATCACTACCTGAGCTGCGTTCCCTTCTGAAGGAGAGTTCTGGCCTGTCCCCTGGTGCGTGGGGGGAAGCGGCCGATGCGGCTGTGCCGAAGTGAAGGCGTTGGCTCAGTTTTGCCGGTCTGTTGCGTTGAGGCAGCGTGATGCAAGCTGTGTGAAAATACCTTGAGCCGTGTGTAGTCACACGGGGTTCGTTCAGACTGCAAATATTGGGGTTACGTGTGCCAACCTGATTTTCAGCCAGTCCTCTATTTAATGTCTCCTCTGATAAAGGCCTCAATAATTTTGCCACCAGAATTCCTGTCAAATGTAAGCATTAACATTAGACATTTATTTCATTGCCTATCCAATAGCAAATATGCCAATTGGATGTGCAAATAAGCTGTTAGTGCTATGATTATGATATTTAGGGCTTGCAATGGATTTGCAGACGCAGTTATTGTGAACCCAGAAAGAAAATGCTAATACTCTGACCCATTGAACAGTAGCTGTTTTGGCCTTGGTTCTGCCATTCTTCTTGCTTATTTTAAGTAACATCTTACATACAAAGTAAGATGTTACTTAAATAACATCTTACTTAACTTACATAACTTAAAATACAAATAACAACATACAAAGTAAGATGTCCCATTATATATCCAGAAAGATGATGTCCATCGTGAAAAAAATGTAGGCATCTATCCCTATTTGTATACTGCCAAGTAGCCTATTTTGTGAAGAACTAAGAATGTGCGCTGTTGCATTTTTGTAGGTATATCTGTAAATAAGAAGGTTAACAGCACAACCTATTTTGCTTTGATTAAAAAAAAAATGCTTTTGACAGTGCACAAAAGAGAAACAGTGATGCTTCAAGGCATGAAAGGAAGAGAATAATCTCCAAGGAACTCTCCAGTTCTCCATTACACCAAAACTCTCACAAGCCATGCCTGTAGGTGTTTCCTTCAGAGAGGTGCTAACATGGTGATTGTAGTGATGTTCTTGACAATTGAGAGAATTAATCTGATATTGTTATTTTTTTGTACTTTTTTGTCACTAACAGTGACGCAGATAATATGATCAGTCATACAGTCAGAAAGTGCTTTTTCAGTAGCTATCAGTTGCATAATGCTATCAAGTGTCTTTATCACTAGTCAAATTGGTGTTTAATTTGGTCTCTTCCTGCTAGATTTTTTTTTTACCTTGGGAAGAAAATCAATATGTTCTTAATAGTTTTAAAAGGTGACTTGAACTCCTGGTTGTGTTTTAAAATGTTTTCTAATAGGTAATTATCAAAGAGGAAATCTTTACTGCGGTTAGAGCTGCTTCCTAATCTGTTGGGGGTTAGAGAAAGGACTTTTGCAATGTAACTTATTTACAGCCCTTACGTTATAAAGGACGTAAAAACCTGTAGTGTTTTAGTGTGTAATTAAGAGACTTCTATGGCGCTCACTGCATAGCACTCTGTGTGACTTGGTTTCTGCAGTCGCTGACATTTGGTGTGCATGTTCTAGATACCCCGGTTATTCCAGAGCTGTCCTGCACTGCTGCGTTTTGTTCACAAGCACCATAGTCATTCCCGAACACGGTCAGTGTAAAGTAACGGATATTTTTGTGGTTATGTTTCAGGTGCCTCTGTTTATTCCAGCATTATTTTCCTTCACGTGCCTCTTCATGGTCGCACTGTCACTTTACTCTGACCCAGTGAATACAGGGATTGGATTTGCAATAACCCTGACTGGAGTTCCGGCCTACTACCTCTTTATTGTGTGGGACAAGAAGCCAAAGTGGTTCAGAAAGCTCCTAGGTAAGTCCTGCTGGGACTCTTCTCCTTTGTGCTGACTTCAGGAATTTCTCAGGGCTCCCAGTGTTTTGAAATCCTCCTGTTCAATTCGCTCCGCTGCTCTGAGCTGGGGATGACAATGCAAGTTCTTCTTCTGCACATACCATGGGATTGCTCTGCTGGTTACCATCAGTGTCAGAGTCCAGCAGAGGGCTGCGAAGATGATGAGGGGGCTGGAGCATCTCTCCTATGAGGAGAGGCTGGGAGACCTGGGGCTCTTTAGCCTGGAGAAGAGATGGCTGAGAGGGGACCTTATCAACGCTGATAAATCCCTAAAGGGCGAGTGTCAAGAGGATGGGGCCAGGCTCTTCTCAGTGGTGCCCGGTGACAGGACAAGGGGCAACGGGCACAAACTGGAGCGCAGGAAGTTCTGCTTGAACCTGAGGAGGAACTTCTTTACTCTGAGGGTGGCAGAGCCCTGGAACAGGCTGCCCAGGGAGGCTGTGGAGTCTCCTTCTCTGGAGATGCTCAAAACCCGCCTGGATGCGATCCTGTGTGACCTGCTCTAGGCTGACCTGCTTTGGCAGGGGGGTTGGACTAGATGATCTCCAGAGGTCTCTTCCAACTCCTACCCTTCTGTGATTCTGTGCAATGTCTGCTAATGTTTACAGCAAGCTTATTCTTCAGCTATTGAATGGCTTCAAGTGACTAGATGCCTCTCCCTCTGTCCCCTTCTCCCCTCCTTCCCCTACAAACATCTGATTCCTTTCAAATTGCCCATCTTCCCCCCAGGCCGTTGGCCTGTGCTAACAGACAGTGTTACACTCCTAGGAGAATCGGTTTGGAAACATAGACACCGCAGCTGTGATGACAGGATGGCCTTGGTGCTCCCTGCTGAGACCACGTGTCTGTGAACCACTGAGGAATATTTGGAATGGGACAGGCTCGGGCAGGCTTGGTGTGGGGATATTGTCCTTAGCGGAGGCTCCTGACAAAATGATAGCAAAATATACAGTGCCTGACACACCTCTGTGAAAATTGTTTCTGTGCTTCATGAAAAACGACCTCTGTGTGAGCTGGCTGTAGTATTTCACGCCTGAAATACACAGAGAATAATTTTTATACCATTTCTGAAAGTTTTTGAAAGAATTTGTGGAAGTTCTGATGTGTTGGAGAAGGGTTATTTGGAGCATTTCAATTAGAAAGAAGTCAGTGTAATTTATTACTGCTCCCCATTCTTCTCTTTTTTGTAACTCAGCATGATAGGTTTTCAAAAGGGAGGTAATTTTCAAAACATGAAACGAGAATATAGGCAAAATATTTGAGGAATGATGGATAGTTTATTAAACAAAACTGAAAGAAAATCTCTTCTGCTGCAAAAGAAAAACTCAATCCAGGAAAGTTTTCAAGTAAAAATAATTTATTTGTATAGGTGCTGAATCAAAAATGCATATTGTCTTCTGTGCTTCAGTCTTAAGGGGTGGTTTAAAATGAGCTGCTCACAACAGAAGAATGGGTTTTTTGTATATATGTTATTATACTATAACATTTTATATGTATTTTCTCTATATAAATATAGGTTATATGGTTATGTTCTGTCTGTTGTAGGACCTATGAATTTCCTTCTCAGTTCATGCTGGGAAGTCCATAGACAATAGGGCAGAAAGTATTTACAGAAAAAGATGTTAGTTTAAGGCTAGGACACTCTGGTGGTCTTAATTTTATATCCATAACATTATAAATTACTTGGAATGTCCTGGGAATGGGTAGGAAGCTCCAGTGCAAATGAAAACAGTTGTATGCAAAAGCACATTCTATTAAATAGTTTGTTTTTTCATCTGTTTATAATTTCTCAGCCTTGATGTTTAGGGACTAGGAATTTTTCCCTTTATCAAACCCAGGAGATTTTTGGCATTTTCTGTGAAGTCTCAGAGGTTTTGGAATACAGATACTCGAATCTCTGGCCACAGGATGCCAGTGTTGAACTGCATTACTTGGGTGAGAGAAAAAATATTCTCTTTAAGGTAGACTGGATAATGTGAAGCTTTTTCAATGAGGGTGAATCTTCTAGCTTTTCAGATAACACAAAGTTCTCCTGCTAGAAAGAAGGCCTGGTGCCTGTGTGGTACCTGAGCATGGACACAGTGTGCTGGCTCAGAGGAGAAAGCAGCGGATGCCAGTAAGTGGGTGAAACAGCTTGTTTGCTTTGCAATTATTATTCCCAAAATAACGGTAATGACAGAAGACTGAAGCTGACAGGTTTTGGGTGGAGCAGAGTGGAGATTTACTTGTTAAATTAATTAAAAAAAAAAAAATCCCCCTCAGAAGCAGCAATAAACCTTCTGTGTGGAGTCCTTAAACTGGCATTATTTTGTGAGTTTTAAGGGAGCTCCGCCGTATAGCCTGAGAGCATTTTTCAAAGGCATTGAATGAGGATAAATTCACTTAAGGTACCTCTGTGAGATGTAGACAAGCCATTGGGCAGCTGCAAGCTTGCTGTTCTAATCTTGAAACAATATGCATGAAGTGTACATAGGCATGAAAGAGTCGTTCCGGACGTGGGGTAACAGGCAACATGAAAAAATGGAGTTGTCATTAAAGAGGTAGATTTTTGTAGATTAACTGTGTGACATTTTGGGAAGATAATTCATTTTTCTAGACAAAGGAGAATGTGATAGATGCAGTCTACTAGACTCGAACAAAGTCTGTCCTGCAGTACCGCAGGAGGAGTCCAAGCCTGTTAGCCTGAGCACAGCACTGTGCTAACAAGGCAGCTTCCCAGGCTGCTTCGTCCGCACCGCTCAGCACATCGACAGGTGGTGTGGCGCTCTCTTTACCCCTTTGTCAAGTCACCTTGTTGGGGAACTTGACTTGTTCAGCTCGCCAGACGTGCTTTGGAGAGGAGAGATGACTGCTGCTCACGAACCCCACGCGCTATTTGAGTGAAGGACAGAACTGGTGCAGGAAACCACGTGGGCATAGACCAGCCCCACGTAAGATCGGACTGGATATTAGCAGAGGTTTTGTAAGGATCAGAGGGGAGGGAAGTTGAACAGCCAGAATTAATAGCGGGATGACAAACCCAGCCTGAAGAGGAGTACATTTATGAAAGGGGTTTCAGGCGGGTGACAGTAGCAAAGCCCTGGAACGGGTTACCCAAGAAATCCTCTCCAAGGCTCAACGTCATTTTTTCTGTACGTTTTGACTGTCCTTAATGGCATTTACATTGCCCAGTCTCCTTCCCAAATTACTGTGTTGAACAAAAGGTAACTTCACGGTTTGCGGGGTTAATAGGGTCTGGGTGGTATTTTGCAGTAAGAATAACATTTTGTTCTCTCCTTCCAAAGAAATTTTGCTGTAGCACCAGATGTGCTGGTACAAATCATTTTCAGGTAGTACAGGCTTCATTTGACCTTCACGTTCTTGCTTTTTGTAGAACTAATATGAAAATGAAAAAAGAAGCCTAGCAAATCCTACAAAGCATATCAGTGTGTAAAAGGATGCCGCACCAGCACGAGAACGCTTCTATTTGGGCTTCCTCAGTGGAAGCCTCAACCTTAGACTCATATTTAAAGCATCTATTACTTTACAGCGGATTGAATTGTGAGGAGCTTAGAAGTTGAATCCCGATTTCTTCATAGCCTGAACCCATGCTGGAAAAGAGATCTGTTTATATGACAAAATGTGTCTTTCAGGGTTATTTACAACACCAGGAGAGGATGCTTGCTCACTCAGGCCGTAGTGTTATATGCTCCGTTTGCTTCTCGTTGTCGAGTTTGTGATGTTTGGATCTGCAGGAAATCATCTCAGCATTTGGCTGTCATGGATTTCATGTCCAGTCTTATACATACGCAGCAAATTGCTGCTTTCGTTCCTCACCCAAGCTTTGTGTGGTGCTTACACAGGTACCAGGTCTGGGTTTGTCATAAAGGTTGTCCCCTGGGACCTATTTACAGTGAATTCTCCTCTTGAAAAGGGAACATTAGGGTTTAAAGGATGTGTGTGGGGTCACCTTTACTGAAATGGTGTTAAGTTATCTTGTTACGAATGTGAAGCTAGTCCTGTAACTCCAGGTACAGCTCAAAGCAGGCAACATAGAGATGCTGACTGGAGACAGATTGGAACGTTTTTTTGGGGAAAATACTCCTTACACTGTTTTATCCGTAGTATGTTGTAACCAACAACCCTGAGCAAGCACCCCAGCTCCCCCACCCGTCTGATTGCTCCTCCATGGCGGCATCCCAGCACAGAGGAGAGCTGCCCCATGGGAATGGAGGAGCGGCTGCCACCTCCTGCCACGGCAGGGCAGGGGCTCGCTGTCCAGTTGGTCCAACAGGGTGTTAAGGTCACATCCCACTCTCGAGCTGCCTCGGCTTTCCCGCTGCCGCCGTGCCCTTTCCCAGAGCTGTTATGCTGTGGCTCGGCTTCACAGAGAGTCTGTTTCTCTTCCTCTGCTCAGCCTCAAACCTGGAAGGGGTGGGAAGGCAGGGGCAAAGCCCTGCTGGCTTCCTGCTGCTGCCTTCCTCCTGCCCTTCACCCCGGTCCTGCCCAGCCCTGCTCTGCAGGCAGGGGAGGGAGGCGGGAGGAAAACGCAGACCCTGTTGACTCTCAGCCTCTCTGACCCCGTCAGTTTACGGTCTAAGGGCAACCCGGCTTTGTGCTGAACTGGTGACCTCCAGAGAGGAGCAAAGGATGGCAGAGTCTGCCTGCGAGAGGAGAGCGGGAAAGTAGGTTTGGTTCATGTCTGCCATGAGCTGCAAAGATTTACCCTCCTTACTTTACACTGGTGTCAATGCCGACATGTTGTGCTAGGCAAGGAAAATCAGAACTTTCTTGTACAACAGCTCCTGCTTGTTCAAAAACAGGTGACTAAAAAAAAAGGTGACCAGCGAAAGGAGTGGTAAAAGAATGCTCTTTTCCTATTCTACATGTAAATTAACTGTGCTATTTATGAATCGGTACCCTAAAAAGAAAACCACCAAAAACACAAGAAGGAAATAAATGTCCAGAGTGACAAAAGTACAGCGTGAAGTTGCTTTGGTTGTATGACATTCTCAGACCTGTGAAGCTTTGTAATCATTGATGCCTTTTATTTATTTTTTTTTTCTTTTTTGTTTGGGCAGACCTTGGCACAGCTGAATTAACTGGTTTGAACTCTTTCAGACTTTTATTTCAATGTTACCACCTTGTTTAAGCAGTTGTGCAGTGTAGTTGTGCTTTAAGGTAGCCTTTAAATGCACGCAGGTGTTTATTGAACAAGTTTATGCCTTCATACCCTTACGTTCTTACTATATATGCACAGCCTTGGATCAAAGGTAAAGAAATCGCAGTTAAAAGGAAGAAAAGAATTTGAATCAGGCATTTAAATGATACCTGCACCTGGTGTGAGCGCTGTGAACCATGTGTGCAGGCAGGTTGTGTAGCAGCTAAGGTCGTTTTCCTGTCTGCTTCTGCCTTCTCCAGCCCTACCAAAATTTCCTATGTGTATGTTTTGTCTTTGCAGACAGGGTGACGCTAACATTGCAGATCCTCTTGGAAGTTGTCCCATCAGAGGAAGACCAGAAGTCGTGATCTTCATGTGCAGCTTTTGGCTTGGTGTTCCATTTCAACCTGAGGAAGAGGGCAGGGAGGTTTCTCCCTCTGCCTAACGTTCTGCCTACGGGAGGAACAAGTCACAGCCGAGATGGATACCGAGCGAGTCAGCTACCAGAACTGTCTTTTACGATGATGCAAATTTTTTTTATGTGGTTGGTTTTATGTAGAAAGCAAGAACTTGTGCTACGAGAGAACTCTCCTCTTCACTATTTCTTTTGTTACAGTGTCATACTTTAACAAACTGTAGGTTCATCAGACTAGGATTTTGGTTGCATTGTCACTGAAAATAGGTTCAAGCAATGTGTACATAACAGGTGTACTGTGAAGAACGTGTCCTGCTTGCTGAAGAACCCAGCTCTCACCAGAGAAAGGGGGAGATAAAGCTCTGCTGAGTTTCGCTTCCTGATGTTCTTCCCGTCACTCCATTTGGCAGCCCAGTTTGACTTCTTTTGGCTCGCTGGGAGAACCAGCATGCTCATGCAAAAGCACAAGGGTTTCCACACCTTTGTGGTGGCAAATTCAAGGTTTCTTCACTCCAGAGTTGTACTACAGCTGATGGGGAGCATCTACTGAGAATTAGTATTTCTGCCGGTAGGGCAGGAAGATTTTAGCCTGGGGGCAGTAATTTCGTATATGTTAAAGTTTCTACCAGTCTGGAAACTTTTACTATTTTTATCAATGTTTCTTTTTGTATGTATGAATAGGAAATACAGCAACTGAGTAATCCCCAAGTCAAAACATTTGACTGTGACCTCCTTTGCTGTATGAGTATTTTCAGTCTGGAAGCAATATGGGTATGCAGTCTTCAGTCAGGCAAACCTGATTTTAAAGTTTTATGTCATTGTCGGTGGGCAGCAATGAGTAATAGTCACTGGTGGGAATACTGTACAGACATGGCAATAAATGCAATACCTTTTTGTGAATAAGGTATATGGCAAGCTACAACAGATTTGTTGATTTCAGTGGGATATGTGCCCAATCTGTGGGCTTTTCATTCAAGCACACCCCAATTAACTGGGCTTTGAAACGCCAAGGAACGGGTGCTCTGCCAATGTTTCCTTCCTGGTTTTATCTCTGCAGAAACAGAGAAAGGCCGTCAAAACTAATAAAATCAAACAAAGCTCATCTTCTGAATGCTGTTTGAGCTGAGATTTGGCTCAAATATGAGCTGAAGTTTTGCTCTTTTTTCTAAGATAGTTGTAGAGAAAGACATTTTTTCATGCTTAGAAATTCAGTTTTATACTGTTAGTTGAAGACTAGTCGACCTTAAGGTTAAGGTTTGTTATCACTCTATTAGGAATATAATGCTTAAATGTTGAATGCACTACTTTTTGAGCTGTTTGCTACCAGCAAGTCATACGTTTCATGAAAATTTTTATGGAACTAAGCAACATTAAACTTCCTAAACTGGGAGACAAGCACAACTAGTAGCCAGACCACTACAGTAAAGGGAGACTGTGTATTGTATATGTGTTGTATATATCCAGAATATCTACTGTTTTAAAGGTGTACAGTAAATGTTTTAAATTTATACATGTTTTTCTTTCTTGTATTTCTATGGTAGAATTTTGTAGAAGTAGGGAAATGGGAGTAACTGATTCTGTGGAAAAGCAGTAATTTAAGACACAGAAAACATTTTGCAAGCAATTTTTTCTTTAAACGTTTTCTGTTTACAGTAACTTAGAGTGTTACTTGAAAAAAATTTTAGACAAACATCTTGAGAGAGATTTTTATGTTGACAGTGCATGTGTTTAATTAGTGTTTACCTTTGGGTCAGAATTCTGCTGTTGAGGCCATCTCCTGCCATCCTAGTTCACCAGGGTTTGGCCTGTGTCACCACGGAGCACCTTCAGAGGACACAAACTGCATTTCTCTCTGGTAAAAATGAACTGCCTGATGCCCTCCGGGAGCGTGTCTGATGCCCTCCTTTGCTTACGGGTGCTGCATGCGGGGGTCCCACCAGAGCTGGTCCAAAGCGAAACCTCCCGAACACTGATGGTGTGGATGCCAGGTTTTCAGCACCAACTGCTTCATTCCATGTATTCACTCCTGTCATGCCAAATTACTTGCAAATAATGTGGTCAGTGTTAACTTGTAGAAATAAATGGGCTCTGTAAATATAGCTGAATGTTGCTTTATTTTCCCATCATGGGCTTTAAAGATCAGAAATGTTTCTAAGCCTGATTCAATAACCACATTTTAGTAGGTTTATTTCGTGTAAGGGGTTAATGTATCCCAAGGGAGATCCTGTGACTCATTGATTGTGAAGTTACATATTCTAGGAAGAAAAATAACCCTGCAAAATAAAATAAAAACCTATTTTTTTGAAAATGCACAGGGATTCTAATTTCAGGTTTAGTTCCTTTAGCACATACAATCACAATGCAAAATGTTGTAATTGGGTTTCCACTGTGTTATAGAAGTCAGTATCAAGGACTTTCATTACATCAAGAAATTGAAGCGTATCCTCACAAATGGAGTAAAAACAGGTTTAAAAGGGTTTTTTTAAAAGCATCTAGTTATTTTTTAAGACTTTTTTAAAAGTATTGTCTTCAGAGTCATAAAGGAAATTCTTGTAGAATAAAGGATAAACTTTATATATAATTTTTCTTATTAGGGCCGGAGGTGGTCAGGCCAATGAGACTACTTCTGTGGAGAACTTTGGTGATCCTTTTTTTTTTTTTTGTCTTTCCTTGCTTTTTGCACCTTTTTATGAAGTGGACTCTGTCAAAACATTTTCTTTTTGTTTAGGTGGGTGCTGCTGTTTTTCTTCTCTGAATCTGTTGCTCTTCTGGGGTCTAGGCAGAAGTGTCACCAAAGACAAAAGCTGTGAGGATTTCATGTGAGTAGCAAATGCGGATGTGGTTTGGTACAACACCTCCCAGAGAAACAGTTCAGCCTCTGGGGCCTCCGAAGGTGCTGCCCTGCCTTTGAGCCTCCTGATCTGGACCTCTGTGTGGCCTGAGGCAGCGTGTTGTCAGCCAGGCGTGTTTTGCTTTCCAGAGCTGCTCCCCGCTCAGCGTGGGCCCCGCGTGGATGACCCTTCCTCTGGTGCCGCGTGCTGCAGGTCTGTCCCTGCCGTCCCCTCCAGCCCAGGAGTCTGCCGTGGCTTTCGAGGGGCTGTCAGGTGGGAGCCGGAGCGTCCCCTCTTCCTGCCCTCCGTCAGCAACACCTTCCTTGGCTGGACCTAGAGTCTTCACGGTTCGTTTCTGCTGTTCCAGGTAGGAATCAAAGTGGGTGAGAGAGAATCTGTTTTTTTTAAATGTGGTGCCTGTGGTCTGATAAAACCTGAGTTGCGTGTGTCATGTGAAGTACTTCCAGATCCGTCCTAGAAAGCGTTTTGTAGGTATTGTGCTGCTTTTGCATGCTTGTATGTGGGCATTTTTGGTACAAGGCAGAACGCACGGAGGTCTTTGGCAGCGGCAAAGTTTCAGAGATGCCTTTGTTACGGTGGCGTGGGGAGGGCAAAGCGGCAGAGCTGACACGCCGCTGCCGGGCAGCACCTTCCCAGGGACGCAGCCACCCCCAGCTGCGGCTGGGGAGCAGAGGTGCTTCAGCACAGCGCCCGGCCCCAGCTCCTGGCCGTGTCGCTCGTCTCGCGGGCTGCAGTCGCTGTAAGTGAACCACCACTGGTTTGGGGCTGGCTTGAAATACGGCGCCACCGATGACGGTGTCTCAGGAGCTGGCTCTGAAGCCGCTCTGCCGCGGAGGGAGGGGGGTAGCTCAGAGCTGCGGCGCCAGCAGCTGAACAGCTACTGTTCCGTGGGAGCGGGGCGTGTGTAGGTATGTATTTGTAGATATTGCCGTAACATGCGTTCAGGTTATGGTTTTTATGAGAAAACTTCTAAGTACTTTTAAAAAAGCCATTCAAAGTGAAGCAACTGTCGTAACTTTTATGCGACTTTTTTTAGTTTTTAGTACATTTCTCACTTTATACAGAAATTGTTGCGTATTTTTACTCTGACTTGTGCACTTCAAAAGCTGTCTTCTAGTGCTAGTGTGCATTAACAAAGGCATTTAATCTGATTTGATGTAAATATGCATCTGATTGACATCATAAACTAAGGGCCGAGCTGCCTTACAGAAGGACAAGCCTGGGAAAACTGAGCTGTCCCGGGATGTGACGCGTTCCGTGCTAAGGCAGGTCTTTAAGGCAGGTGATGTGACCTGATCTCTCGAATCACTCATGGCTCTTTTTCTTGAAGGAGGAGACGGGATGACTAGTTCAGGCATGCTCAATGTGCTAGGTAGCGGCGCAGGAGGGAAACGAACCCTCCGTTACTGCAGCTGGTACAATGAAGTTACTGCCCTAACTGATACTGAGGATCACAATTACCCCTAAGAATTACTTATTTTTCATTCAAATTGCAATAGAGGTTTCTTTTGACTAGGATACACTACATTTTCCAGACTTTCCAATTTGAATTAAAACCAAACCAAACAACTGTGCTTGCAAGTTCATCTGCCTTTGACTATGTATATATAAATATAACCCTTGGGCTGAATGCATACGTACGCTCCTGCTTTTCGATTTTCAGGGGAAAATCAGCCTTCAGTTTTAAGAATGTTTTTCAAACATTATTCTACAGAAAATGATAGAAGTTACCTATATCTGCTAGTTGTGTTGATGCAACAAGACGAAAGGATGTTCCATAACCTTCAGTACCTCCAAAAGTTTTGCTTCAAGCATTAGACATCTATCAGGATCCAGACAGATTTTAATCAGTGTAGGTCTTAGCAAAATGAGTGTTGATCTTTCTTCAGGAGGAAGTAGATATTTCATTTTTCCAACAGCACTATCAAACATTGTGTTTAATGACCAGCAGAGCACAGGTGGCTTGTACACCAGAGCCTGTAGCAGGGAAGACACTGAAATCCAGTGCGAAAAGCGTGTTTATGCCTGGGAAGGATGGGAATGACAAAGCCTGGCATTTTGAACCAGGAAGGAGGTGGTCAGGGGGATGTGCAGGACAATG